ACCTGACTGCTGCAGATTCATTTCGGCATTTATAGTGTTGACACTGAAACACATAAATTCATGTCACAAACTGCTCCGGTTATAATGTCACAGGTTTCCATCTCTTACAAATTGCTGAAGTTAACGTGTGAATGCAGCATCACGCTGTTTTGTGGTTTTGGTTCAGGAGGAACTGTAAAAGGTGACTGCTGTTTCGGTTGCGGTGTTCGGTGACTGACGTCTGTCTAACTCTGCATAGCATGAAACGCACTGATGATGTGTGATGTTTGCAGTGGTGGACGAAGTACACATACCATGTACTTGAGTAAAAGTAAAGATACTCAAGGTAAAATATTACTCAAGTAAAAGTAGAAGTGCTGCCTTTAAACATTCACTTGAGTAAAAGTACAAAAGTATTTGCCTTCAAATGTACTTAAGTATCCAAGTACTTTGATTTTTTTATGGCTATAATGTCCTATTATAATTTGACTCAAGACTCTTGCTTAACTCAGTCTAAGTGAAGACTAATGTCACTCTTGGCACACCAATCTATTAATGAAATGACATTAATTAGTCTGATATATATATATATATATATATACTGTATATATATATATATATACACTCACCGGCCACTTTATTAGGTACCCCATGCTAGTAACGGGTTGGACCCCCTTTTGCCTTCAGAACTGCCTCAATTCTTCGTGGCATAGATTCAACAAGGTGCTGGAAGCATTCCTCAGGGAGTTTGGTCCATATTGACATGATGGCATCACACAGTTGCCGCAGATTTGTCGGCTGCACATCCATGATGCGAATCTCCCGTTCCACCACATCCCAAAGATGCTCTATTGGGTTGAGATCTGGTGACTGTGGAGGTCATTTTAGTACAGTGAACTCATTGTCATGTTCAAGAAACCAATTTGAAATGATTAGAGCTTTGTGACATGGTGGAAGTAGCCATCAGAGGATGGGTACATGGTGGCCATAAAGGGATGGACATGGTCAGAAACAATGCTCAGGTAGGCCGTGGCATTTAAACGATGCCCAATTGGCACTAAGGGGCCTAAAGTGTGCCAGGAAAACATCCCCCACACCATTACACCACCACCACCAGCCTGCACAGTGGTAACAAGGCATGATGGTTCCATGTTCTCATTCTGTTTACGCCAAATTCTGACTCTAACATCTGAATGTCTCAACAGAAATCGAGACTCATCAGACCAGGCAACATTTTTCCAGTCTTCAACTGTTCAATTTTGGTGAGCTCTTGCAAATTGTAGCCTCTTTTTCCTATTTGTAGTGGAGATGAGTGGTACCCGGTGGAGTCTTCTGCTGTTGTAGCCCATCCGCCTCAAGGTTGTGCGTGTTGTGGCTTCACAAATGCTTTGCTGCATACCTCGGTTGTAACGAGTGGTTATTTCAGTCACTGTTGCCCTTCTATCAGCTCGAACCAGTCTGGCCATTCTCCTCTGACCTCTGGCATCAACAAGGCATTTCCGCCCACAGAACTGCCGCTCACTGGATGTTTTTTCTTTTTCGGACCATTCTCTGTAAACCCTAGAGATGGTTGTGCGTGAAAATCCCAGTATATTAGCAGTTTCTGAAATACTCAGACCAGCCCTTCTGGCACCAACAATCATGCCACGTTCAAAGTCACTCAAATCACCTTTCTTCCCCATACTGATGCTCGGTTTGAACTGCAGGAGATTGTCTTGACCATGTCTACATGCCTAAATGCACTGAGTTGCCGCCATGTGATTGGCTGCTTAGAAATTAAGTGTTAACGAGCAGTTGGACAGGTGTACCTAATAAAGTGGCCGGTGAGTGTATATATATATATTTGAATTGAATTAATTTTTTGTGTGTTTAATTTTGGAGGGAAGGGGAATGTTCCCATAAGGTATAAAACATTTACAGTATTTACTGTATATATTTTTCTCCAGCGCCTATGGTCATAATTTAACATCTTAATGTTATGATACATTCACATAAACCTGCACAACGCCATTAAATATATACACACACGCGCGCACACACACACACACACACACACACACACACACACACACATACATACATACAGTATATATATATATTATATATTCTATGTAATGGGAGCAGCCAATTTCCCTCCAAAGTTAAACACAAAAACGTATTAATGCAGTGTTTCTCCTAGGCTACTCCCCAGAAAAAAAAAAGCTATTATATGCAAGTCATTTCAGTGGTAACGTAAGCAATGTACATTATGCGTCATAAGTTTACCGATAATTGCTGCAATAACAGCTGCTGCTCTCTGTCCCTCTTAAAATCATTGTCAACGCGATTTGTTCTGAACTATTGAGAGCTACACGAATGACGTGACCACGCGGCGGCGAGATCACTGTCACAACCATCTATGTTCGCAACTCTCATATTTAACGGCTCTGGTTCGCGCTTAGTAGATACCGCCAAGGCAAGTTCAAAACAAAGCGCGCGCGCTGTACTGTGATTGGTGGCTCGTTTGACCAGTTACGTTTTTATCCACTCACAAATAAAAAGGAACGACTGATTTTGAAAATGTAGTAGAGTAAAAAGTAAGATATTTGACTTTGAAATGTAGTGGAGTTAAAGTAAAAGTCTCCCAAAATGTAAATACTTGAGTAAAGATACGCAAAAAAGCTAGTACAGTAACGAATTACATTTACTTCGTTACTGTCCACCATTGGATGTTTGCACTAGCAGGGTGTCATGGAGGTATGCAAATATATATGCTGACAGGCAGGTGGACATCGTATCATTGCATTCAATACAATGATTGGGCGGACATTTTATATTCCTACGCCTTCCACAGATGATATATATATATATATATATATATATATATATATACATATAAATACATTTAGACCACTTAACTTAGTGATTGCTAACAGGATGAGAAGAGATTTTGAACCAACATGAAAACAAATCTGGAACAAATTACCCTGCCTCTAAATTTGATATTAAAAACGGCAGATTTCCTGAATTCATCAAATGAGATCAGACTTGTCCAGATCCAAGTTCTTTCAGGTTTTGGGTGGAACATGCATCAGATAGTCAGTGAACGGAATATTTAAGACTGCATGAAGCACAACAAAAAATAGTCTGACAATTGAATGGCAAGGGCAGCAGTTTTCACAGCCAGATACCCCATGTAGATAATAGCCCCAATGTTGTTGTTCACAGTGCATGTGGTTTGAACACACATGGTCTTGACATTGATCTGCTCAGTGTCGTATCTCGATCCCACCGGTGATGATAACGTGGTCCATCGCTGCAGCGTGACCCCTATCAAAAGCTCTCCAAGATGATTCCAATTGTGATGTGATGAGAGTCGAAATTGGCTTGATAATGTTGTTTGTGAGGATGGCACAAAGAAGTCTGTTGTGCCGCGCACACGAAGGACCGAGATGCACCTTTTTTGTTAAAAAGAAAACGGACCTAAAAGCCCAAGCGTAAAGATGCACAATGGAATGATTAATGAGGGGAAATGAGAGGTACAGATGGTGCTCAACCAGAATAAGTATTTTGTCGCTGTGGGTAGCGCCACCGTTTCTGCGGCATTTGCAGCTTTTGACCACTAAGAGGCTCTTTAACCATAGACTTTTACAGGTTGTTATCAGGGCGAACATATCAAAGCGCATTTGCCAATGAAATAGATTTGACGGTTGCAGTCGGTGGATAATCTTAAATTGGAACTAAGAAAAATATTGTTGTTAAATATGATGTGAGCAAATTTAGGAGGCAATAATAGGCATACTTTTGAACTTGTGTATGCGTTTGTTATTTAGAACAAATTCAAGCAGCATAGTAAACAAACAAAACTGAGAGCCTGTGTTTACGTTTTACTGTAGGTTTCACAGTACTACCGTATTTTAGATTTGTACACATTAACAGGTATGCAGTGTTATTTATATCATTGAATCCTTTGATATTATTCTTGCCATAGAATATAGAAAAGGTGGTTTACTTTGTATGGGAGTATTAAAAGTGGTAGCCTGTTTGTGGTAGATTTATATGTTAATACTGTCACTACATTATTTAATATTTGTCACAAAAACAAATATTTTGAATTTTTCATTTAATAATTCGCTAATAAAATGCTACACATTTCATCAGTTCACGTATATTCTTTTAATTATTGTCTGTCCTTTTTTGTAACAGGACAGATAACTACTCCTGCACATGACATCCAGACCTATACATCTGTCCATTAATTAAGAAATCGTTGAGCACTTTTTAGTTAGTTAAAATGTGAACATGTTGTATTTATTCATAATTCATATTAACAAGACATGAATGAATAAAACGTGGCCACGACTGAACTAAAGCAATGGAACGAAAACAAAGGGACGGATGGGTTAATCAGAATAAAGTATTTGTTTGGCTCAGTCTCAAATGGTGCACTTGAGTGTAGACTTCTTTCTTTCTTTCTTTCTTTCTTTCTTTCTTTCTTTCTTTCTTTCTTTCTTTCTTTCTTTCTTTCTTTCTTTCTTTCTTTCTTTCTTTCTTTCTTTCTTTCTTTCTTTCTTTCTTTCTTTCTTTCTCTTAATTTCTGTTCCTTGTTTTTTCATCTCAGAAACTCAATAACATAGCTTGCTCTCTCCCCATATTTCAAGACAGAATTGTGTCACCCGACTGGCCAGTGGTGATATTTATTGGCAGATTGTTGCAAAGCCATTCACAATTATTCTACGTTCGCCCCATGTGTATTGGGTACAGGAATATGTAGACTATGCTGAATCAGCAGCCCTGTCTCTGCAAAATAAATGCTCAGGATCACAATGACAGCAATCTTTTTTTATTTATTTATATATTTTTATAAGGCAGCAGTCTCTCCACCACCCCACCAGCTAAGTGCAGCTGGAAGTGTGCCCATGGTACTTAGCTTTATGTGTTTTCAGAGGGGGGATAGAATGGGGCGTGCATGACACAACTGCAGAAATGAAATGCCTCATATACATTTTTTAATGTCAGATGTGTTTTCTTTTTTTTCACAGGGCGGCCACCGATGCTTTTGCTGCAATGTTATGCTCAAGTAAGTTTTTTTTTTCTTTTCTCTTTTATGAAGACCAAGTATGGTAACCCATACTCAGAATTTGTCCTCTGCATTTAACCCATCCAAGTTAGTGCACACACATTAGGAGCAGTGACACTACACACACACACCCGGAGCAGTGGGCAGCCATTTGCTGCGGCGCCTGGAGAGCGATTGGGGTTAGGTGCCTTGCTCACGGGTATTGAAAAATTAACCCGAATCCTTCGGGTTACCAGTCTGACGTTACCACGACTGCCTTTTGCTTTATGTTTTATGAACATGCTGGGTGCATTACAACAATATTTCTGGGGACTTGTTCTCCCAGCATGCTTATGCTGTGATTGTGGTTTGAGACACCATAGCTCTGTTCCAAAACATATAAATAAAGCAAATTGAAGTGAGAAAAAATTAAATGGTAATTAAAATATACATTTTTAGAAATTATAGGTATTATAAGTGAGATCATAAGCAGAACTGCGTGCCGTTACTGTTTATTGTTGTTTTTTTTTTGTGATGGTTGTTCATGAGTCACTTGTTTGTCCTGAAGAGTTAAACTGTTCCTCAGAAAAATCCTCCAGCCAATTCTTTGGATTTCCAGCATCTTTTGCATATTTGTAACCTATTATTTTGAGATTCATCTTTTCACAATGAAGACAATTTAGGGACTCATAAACTACTACGAAAGCTGCAAACATTCAGTGATGCTCAAGAAGGAAACACCATGCATTAAGAGCGTGAAAACTTATGAACAGGATGAAGATTTTTCTATTGTTTGCTTAAAGATTAGGACTGCCCTTCAGAAGCTACAGAAGAAACTTACATGTTTCCCAGAAGACAAACTAAGTACAATTTACCCTTTTTTTTCTCGAATTAAAAAAGTTTCCCTGCTAAATGCATTGTGTTTCCTCCTTGAGCATCAGTGAATGTTTTCAGATTTACCTAGTTTACTGTTCAAGACAAACAAGGGACTCATAAACATCCATCACAAGACATAAAACAGTCATGGATCATCTGGGTTAAAATAAATAGAATTTTGAAGTTTCTGGCATTGTGTGTGTGAAGCTGATTTATTAGATTTTAGACATTTTCATAAACAGTTTAACATTAAAATATGAGATGCTGCTTCAAAACAAGCACCCTCTCTGCACCATGATAAAAAAAGTTTATTTTTTACCTTAAGAATCACATACTCAACCCAAAACAGAGTAAAAATTTGTTACTTTTTTTGCTTTTAACAGAATAGAGCAGGAGCAGAGAATATGCAGCTATTTATCCATCTTCTTAACCCTCTTGTATACTAGCACACTCTACCTGCAGTTGATCTATGGTCCTGCAGGGGGCAGTGTGACTCTGTGAGTCTCGTCCTGCGCTCTCCCATTGAGAACACAGGCGCTGCACCTGTTGATGCTCTGCAGTCTGCGAGCCTGTGAAGAACACAATGCTCTGTGGGGCTTTTAGGAGCCTCCTCTAAAAGAAACACGTCTGGCCAGTGATGCCGCAATTAATTCTCCTCCGTCGGGCAAAGCTAAGTCGACTGTGCCTTTTTGTCTGCTTGCTTTTTATTTCTCCGGAGGACGTGGCGAATGCTTGATAATCATCTAACGTGGCCATATTTCCTTCAGCGAGCTTTGCAGAAATATTGTCATGTTTTCTACGTGTCAGATCTGCGCTGCAGCATTTGTAACAGTGATTATGAGAGAACGAATCTCCTGAGTCCGCGATGACAGGACATTTTCATATTCTGAGACATCACATTCCATATTCCACTGTTCCAGACCTTGCTTTTAACTCCTAGAAAATCCTAAGGCTACATTAGCTGCACCAAAAATTCCTTCTAGAAGTCCAAGCCTGATAGAAACCATCGCAGGCATTAATATTTCAGATTGCTGTATTTGTGCAAGTCATAGAACTGCAGTGTTCTTAAGTTCATGACTCCCATACCGGGAGCTCTGGAGGGATACGAGCCAAAGAAGTAGATTCACAACACACACCTTCAAGTTTCAGCTCTCTCCGTTATAAAGTATTATTCCCAAGGCTCCGGAACTACCCAGAACAACATGAAAGTGTTGTTCTTTTTCCCTTATTTCCTTTTGTAATTCCATCACCGAATGGTTTGCGTGCATGGAAGTAAATACCGTTGACCTTCATATCGCAAACACTCCCGCTGCTCTCTGCCACGGCCTCCATTAGATGCGCTGAGTGCACAGAGCGATTGGCCGCTTTCCAACCCCTTCAACAGAAGCAAGGAGACTCTGGGCTCAGAGTCCTGCGAGCTCCCTCGCATGGAGGCCCCTGCCCTTCTCTGAGCGTCTTCGGCTTGAGAGATTTATGGAGAAACCAGCCGAATACGGAGCTTGGAGGATTTCTCTTAAAACAAGGAGAGTGGAAATTCTTTTGACAGTTTCGCAGGTGGGCTTTCAAACATTGATTTAATAATGTCAGTTCAATCCTGGAAAGAGATCAGTGGAAGACACACAGTGAATCTGAAACAAATCCTCTGCACAGACAGATAGACGCATAGATAGATAGATAGTTTTAGGTGTTTATGAAATCCCAGAGGTGGACTCTTAAAAAAAAACATTTGCATAGGTTGTGGGCACAAAAATACTTCCATTTAATTGTACACACGAACTACAATATTCACTTCACCAACAGCATTGTGATGAGCTGTTTGTCTCTTTGTAATGCAATTAGTGAATCTTTGAAACCACAAAGCAGATCAACATGAAGTAGTTGGTCCCAAATGGACTCAAGGTTCAGTGCAGTGCTGTAAGTCAAACATTTAGTTAATTTGAATAAAGAGTTTGGCTTCGGTTTATCTGCTGATAGAGCTCACCAGTGACCTCGTTCTTTAGCTGATTCTTTTGCGTAGCCTTAATATTTGAAACATTTCTTTAATTTAAATCTGTGTTTATTGTTTTCTCTATTTTTATTTTCTAAATTTCATAATTATTTATTTTATATTTAATTATTTTGCATTTATATTTTTTTACACTATATGCTATAGTTTTTTCCCACACATTTATATATATATATATATATATATTTTATATAGTGCAGCGTTGCACGAATTTTATGGAGAAGATGATCCGCAATGTATTTCGACAACCTCCATCCAAGGAGTCTGACAAAGCAAAAAAAACGGACCCATTTACCCAATATTCGTGCGCTATGTATTTTTATGTTTATTTGAGTATCTTCCTGTTAATCTTCCTTTGCCATGTTAATGCCCAACTCTAGTAGACAACATAACAGCTCACTGCATTACTAAAATGGCTCACTAGTTTTTAAACCCTTTAAACAGCTTTGAATTAAGTGTTTATTCCAATAAAACATTGAATACTTAGTGAAGCAATGGGTAACACTTTATTTTGATGGTCCCTTTTGAACATTCTGTTGACTATAAGTAACTTCGCAACTACCTCTCATTAGAGTATTAGTAGACTGTCTGCTTAATATCTGCCAACTCTTTATTGTGATGCTCCTCCAACAGACATTCTACAGACTATAAGTAACTTTGCAAGTACATCAACTTATTCTAACTCTAACCCTACCAATCTACTAATACTCCACTAACACTCTAGTGAGAGTTAGTAGAGATGTAGGTGCAACGTTACTTATAGTCAACTGAATGTGTTAAAGGGACCATCCAAACAAAGTGAAACCCAGCAATGATGAAAATATAAATTAATCTTTCTTTTTTTTATTCATTTAAAGCTGTAACTGAATGAGTCACTCTTTGAATCCCTATAGGAGACAGCTTGTGTTTGTAATGTGACCATTTTTATATTAGATATTAGAAGTTAATTATGTCATCAAACTTGGTTGCTAAGATACAGATTATTGGCACAAACAAATAATTGCATCTCTGGGTGTGGGAAATATTGTATATGTACAAGGGCAACCTAATTGTGACAGTAATAGGGGGGACTGTAGTATCAAACGGTTCATTAGTCAGTGCACTTAAAAGGTCAATGTTTTTTTTTTCTTTCTTTTCACTATTATTATTTTGTTCATATTCATATTTTATTTCAGATTTTATTTTATATTATTTCCTATATTTGTATTTATGCTATATTTATGTGTGGATGCCTCATGCACTCATATTTCATAATGGCACTGTACTTTTATAAGCTACAACAAAGATGCATGATGCATATTACACAGCGACGTTATTGATACCAGCTAGCTTGACCTCGTAATTTCGTCACAAGTAATTGAGTCATCAGTGTCCTAATGGTTAGTAGAACAAGACCCTTGCTAGTGGCAGTATTCTAGTTCACAATATACTGATTCACGACATAGAGAACTAAGGGGCGCTATGAGACATAACCGTGCTTTACCTCAGGCATCAGACCTGTCACTGACTTAAAGAACGGAAATTAAGTCTTCGCCTAGAGTGGCTCTCTCTCCGCCATCTTGTTTTTGATCTCATTTAACCTTTTGTGCCACACTGAGAAATCTTTTCGCTCTGACAGGCAGAGTCACATGCCTTTTTGTTCCCTCTCCATCATCCCAGTGTTATTGCATTCTGTTGATATGGCTCTTTAGTGCCCGAATGATGTATGTTCTTATTACATTTTATTAATACATAGCACAACAGAGCGTGACATGAGAAAGTAAGAGAGAAAGAGAGGTCAATTTGAATATGAATGATACATACAGATGCTTCCAATAAATATTAGCCTGTCTCTAACATGCTAACTAGCAAAAAAGCTTCTTTCTCCTCAAAAACAAATTTGGCATGTATTCAAATGGACACTGTGTTCTTGGTTAAATTAATGTCAGCCTCTTAGACTTTAATTATTCAAAAGCCTTATGGACAAAGGACTTGGAAAGAGTGATAATGAATGATATACATCTTGGTCATTAAGACCAGGACAAATAATAAAGCTAATGAGTATGAGCAGTATTTACAGTGGTAAATAGAAAAGTAGAGTCGTTACTAACTTGGCTACATTTCTCAAATGTTACCTTTACTATTATCATGTCCAGTCACAAACACATTTTCTTTCCAATAAGAAGGGATGTTACAAAACATGCTGCTAAATTGTCTTTTTTTCTCAGTAGTATAAACTTTGGTCTGGCTGGAAAATGAATCCATTATTAAGATTTTAGAGAGAATAAATCAATGTTTACTGTGTGATTAAATATGCAGAATTTTCTTTGTGTTCTTCTACAGAGGTCAACTGTCGGACTGCCTTCGCAAAAGGCTACATCGCAGATCTCCTGAAGGTGTACGAAGACTGGCACAACAACGACGCCAACCTTAAAAACATTCCTATCCGTAGAGCCCTACTGCATTGCCTGCACCGTGCCGCCAACTCAGATGTGGGCAGACACGCCATGGTCGCCGAAGGTGGCATTAGTCTTCTCTTCCAGACCACTCAGGTGATATTTCAGCCCACTTTGGTCTCAAAGTTCTCGTAACATCTCATATTGTGATATTTTTTTGTGTTTGAACTTTTTTTTTTAAAAAATTTTTTTTTTTACTACCTTCCGTAATTACATTTCTCTGTTCCTCATCATTGCCAATCATTTGCCTTTATATCACAGTGATTTTTATCGACCTTGCTAAGTAAACCAGCCCCAGTCGCTTCCAGATGATGCTCTAACTGTCTGTTAATGTGCTGTAAAGAAGCACATTTTTGCTTTTGCTACATATTTTGCCCAGAGGAAAAGTTGTTTGGAGATCACATGTAGCACCTTGAAGTATTTCTAACTGATTACGTTTCGTCTGAAGACCTGCTTGACCATGAAAGGTCTTGAATCTCTGGTGGAACCAGCGATCCAGCTGATGAGGAAGTGCAATCCCAAAGTCCCTCTTCCACTGACCTCAGATAAGAGTGCCTACAGCTTTCCTCTTCCTGGGAGGCCTGTCGATGACTGGGATGCTGATTTAGGACTTTACGGTAAGGTTTATGTTCCCTGGGTTTTTAAGCCAGCTTCTTTATTGCACTGCCAAACACCCAACAGTTACTATTATTCTCCTCGCACAGTCTGTCCGTGAGGGACACTGAGTCTGTCCCACTAGAGATATTTAGCCTTTACACACTGCCTTTGGCTATTAGTGCCTGACAAAGTCCTTATCGGCCAGGCCAAATTTGCCCCTGTTATCACACAGGCGCTGGGCATTTAATGAGTCTAGAAAATTCTTTCAGCCAACACAATATATCCCATTTTTCCTCTATTAGACTTCTATAGTAGGAGTAGTATAGTGCAGAGTATGCGAGTTTGGAAAGTTTGAAAGTATTTATATCCATACCTCTCATTGGTTCCTTCCAAGCAACGAATTGTTATTCATAACTAATAATACAATTATCAACAAATATATAAACCAGACAAAACAGACAACAGACAAATTGAATTTAATTCAAAACTGATTTAAATTTGACACTTCCATGTTCAATTTAAATTATTTTTCTATATATTACCTTATTTTCGAGGAAATAGGTCACACCTGACTATAAGTCGCACGGTCAAAATGACATTGTTGAGAGAGAAAAAAAACTCACTGATAAGTTGCATTGTGTAACGTTTAGTGTCCAAGGATGATGAAGGAAAATGAAGGTAGTTTAATAAATACAGCAAAAATAGATAATCCAATGAGAAAACACAACGCTTTCAGTGTGCATAGCACAAACAATACCGGACAATTGAAAGGAGCACAAAGAGGAACTTAAACAGTGATAATGACAACATAACGAACAGGTGTGATAATTAGATGACAACTGATGCCTGCTGGGAAATTAGGAACAAAGGAAACACAGGAAACAGGTAACTGATGAATGCAAACTAAAAGTCCATGAAAACACATCTAAACACACAGATTGTGACACATCGGTATATAAGTCACATTTTATTATTACATTCAGAAATGATGTAAAATACCAATAAATAAAATTAAACATTTACAAACTTTACAAACGTTAATAAATCCTTTTTAAATTGAATGGTATTCCGAACAGAACAAGAATGAAAAAGACATAATTATTATAGAATTCATTATAAACAAATGAATTAATTTAAAGCGCAACTACTGCAATGTGGGTAATGCACGCTTATTTACTTCTCTCATTTGACACAAATCGAAATGTGTGCTATGCTTATTCAATTATACAATTATTAGTAATATTATTATTGTATTACTTATTGTAAATATATAATAATAATTGATAAAATTATTCATTCAAATGCACATATTTTTTGGATATTCTCACATATTTTATTTCATAGCCATACAAGCCATACAAGTTGTGATCATTCAGACCTTTGCTGTGAAGTAAATGTCAAGACTGACCCTTGTGAAAGCAGGCAATGTGAGGTATCAGTTGTTCTAAACCAGATTCAGAGGCCATTTTGACTAAGATGCTGTTTTTTCTAACTCTTATGCTGTACAGCAGTATTGGGCATAAATGAACTACAGTACAACCCTCTTTTGGCAGACGTGTTTCTTTTTGACTAGGTCATCTTATGCAAATGTTCTCTTTGAACAAGGTCAGAACCCGAGCAGCCGTAAACAGAGTAAAGGAAAACAAGAAACGGAAGATATGCTTGGCCAGAGAACAGCAGATTGCTCTTCGCTGACCCACAATACAATAGTCTATACTCACTTGTTTCGCAGGGAGCTCTGAGGTGGTTGCCCGGGCAACACTGCCCAATGACACTGTGGGTGCTCGACTCACTACAGCATAGTGAAGAGTGTTAGTGTGCACGTTTTTATATATGTACGTACCACACATCTCCACCACATGTATTAATGCGTTAATACCGCTTTTCTCTGCACAAGAGTCTAGAATATTGTTGTTCAACACACTTTTCATACGTAACACCTTATAGATTCAGACACCACGTAAGAGGTTTCCTGCTGGGCCGTTCTCACTAATGAGTTTCCCATTGCTTTTATCTCGAGCAAGGGTGCTGGAGAGCTGGGAAGGCCGATATCAGACCGAACTAAATGATTATCTGTTTATCGTAATAAATAGTGCGGTTGACTTTTTTTACCCGCCGGGATGATACGTGTTGCCGCCCCTATCTGGTTTGAGATAACGCTGTGACCCATCCTGCTTACTAATCGAGAAGTTTCTGCAGGTTTTTCGCACTCTTAACATGCTAACCGCTAATGTTAGCATCTTTGCTGACGACAAACCCTTCTAAACTGAAAGATACGAGTGACCCATAACACTGAGCTTATTTGCTGTCCAATCTGGCCAGGCAGATAAGATGATGTTAATCTCCAAGACGATTGGACTGTAGCTGTAGTACTTCCTTGTTGCCCTGTTTCGTCTGTTTTATTAGCGTTTAGCTGCGAAAATCACAGGAAAACACCCTTAGGTGATGTAAGAGATTACGCAGTGATTTAGTGTTTAGTATTAATCTGTTATATATAACTATTTTAAAACCCTAACATTTTATTTTGATGGTCCCTTTTGAATATTATTCTAACCCTAAACTTACCAGTCCTACTAATACTCTATTAACACTCTAATGTGAGTTATTAGACATGTAGGTGTAACGCTACTACATAGTCAACAGAATGTGTTGTAAAGGGACCATCAAAATAGAGTGAAACCAAAAATCTTAAACCAGCCTAAGGTGGTTTGCTGGTCTTAGCTGTCCATCAAGCTTATTAGGCTAGCCTATTTTGATGGGTTTAGAGGGGTTTAGGGAGCTAGGAGACCTGCTAAATCCACTTAAACTAGCAAAGCTAAGCTTAGACTTGTTTAACACTAAATTTTTAACACTGTTCTAACAGCAAAATAACTTAATGTGATTTTGACATTTTAGCAATGCTGCCATTAACATTATTAGCTCTCATAAACTGGGTTATATTAATTCACATCCTCCCTCTAAAATATATGACTCATCCTAATTTATCCCACAGTCAATTTACACTTCATCCACACCAAATAAAATACATTGAACACACTTAAAAAAAAATTATGTAACCACTAACCAGTCATTTGGTTTAGCAGAGGTTGTTATAAAATTAAATCGATTTTAGTGTTATGTTTTGATTTGCTGCCATCAAATCAGATGAAAGCCTGTGAAGCGAACTCAGAAGAGGCATGACTACATTTATTTCTATTTCATTTTATTTTATCTCTGGAAGTTAACATTTATGTAAATAATCAAAGATCTCTATCTATCTATCTATCTATCTATCTATCTATCTATCTATCTATCTATCTATCTATCTATCTATCTATCTATCTATCTATCTATCTATCTATCTATCTATCTATCTATCTATCTATCTATCTATCTATCTATCTATCTATCTATCTATCTATCTATCTATCTATCTGTGTGTGTGTGTATTTGTGTGTATATGTATAGACACACACACATAATTATATATTTAATTATTTATATAATTATTTAATATAAATAATTGTATTTATTTGTTTTTTATTTTTACGTGTGTTTTTTTATTTTATTTCAACTGAATTATGCTTCGAAACTCTTTTCATTTGATGGTTGTCTGTCCTTTCTGGTATAGCACAACATACGCCACCTGAGTATGTGGCAGATATCTGCTTTTATGTGAACATATCAGAGGTAGAAAGAGCTAATGTTTGAGGACTCTGGGCAGGTCCTGTTTGATCCTACAGATGAACTGCCATATTTTGCTCATCTTGACATTTACGCCTTAGTCTCGCGTGTTGTTTATCTTTCTTTCTTCCTTATTGAAAGATGGCAGTTTAGAAGATGACAGTGACGAAGACACGGAGAACGAGGAGCCAGACAACAGGGACTACGTGAGTGTTTTGAGATTTGTTCTCGAGGAAGACGTGAGCAGCACCTTCAACGCATGCACGCACACATCGCGGTCTGTGCGATCCTGCATCGTAATTTTGACAGAGCGAACGATGTGCGGTAAATTCCACTGATTCATTCTCCCTCTTAAAATGTGATTGAAGAGCAGGTTCTGCGTTTGACAGGAGCCTGACACAAGCAGCTTCCTGTTCTCACATAACTTCAATAATAGGGCCCCTGATTCAGCCATAAATCAATGACTTCACAATCCTGTCCCTGCTGAGACGGCACCACCAAACCAAAGTGCTTTCATCCTCTTCTGCCCTACACGCTCTCTTCAAATACTGTTAATGCATTTGCTTTATTTCCATGTCTGCGCTTCATCCTCTTGCCATGACTAAGATGCCACATGGTACTTTATGCCCACTCTGTAGCGTGAATTCATGCTCAAAGATTTAGTTAAGGACATTTACAGCGAAATATTACCCATGTTGGTATAAGTTGTATTTTAATTGGAGCTGATCAAATGTTTCTACTGTTTGACAGTCTGAAGAATTTGCCTCAAAACTTTGTAATGGTAATGGTAAATGGACTGCATTTATATAGCGCTTTCACAGACCCAATGGCCACCAAAGCGCTTTACATTTTCCTCACATTCACCCATTCACACACTCATTCATACACCGACGGGCGACGGCAGCCATGCAAGGCGCCATCCAGCTCGTCGGGAGCAGCCGGGGTTAGGTGTCTTGCTCATGGACACCTCGACACTTGGTCAGGTGGAACCGAGGATTGAACCACCAACCTTCCGGTTTGTAGACAACCCACATGAACCACTGAGCCACTGCCGCTCAAAACTTTGTTTTAAGAGACACCCTCCAAATATGCTACTTTTATACTATTCAGTGACAAAAATGGCAGTATTTGAGTCTTGATAAAAAACAAAAAATCAGAGATTAATAAATCAATTAAAAACTGATATTAATCTGATAATCTAAGGCAATTTTTTGAATAAGAAAAGTTTAATTTAATGTGAATCTACAGCAGATAAATGCCATGCAAAACAAATAAATGAATAAATAAAATATATAAAAAATATATTTTAATTTAAACCTTTAAATTAAATATTTTAGATTTTTCTTTTGCCAAAATAATGTAATACTCTGTCTGTAATTATAATCCAGAAATATTACTTTAAAGTATTTAGGCTCAGAACATGTCCACATATTTAAATTATTAAACTTTATCCAATTATTATTATTTTTCTCTTCCATTTTGTCCTCATAATGCAAAAAAAAACAACACAAGAATGTCAAGGGGCTTTAAAGGGGCAATCATTTTTTATTTTTATTTTTTTATATAAAATGTGAACATTATAGGCGTATTTGTAATGCAAGTGGGCTTTTATTGTTATGTCAAAACATAATGGAAGTGTTTAGATTTTGAGATTGATCTTCGATTTAATACTCAATTTATTGTAAAGATATTTATATATATATAAAAGCCATGGAAATATTTTGAGGGGGTGTTAATAGCATCACTTTACCCAATTTCTATTTCCTAGTGGCACAAAAAAAGAACTGCAAAAATGGCCTTTTGTATGTGTGAGATTTGACATTTACACCACAGCTGTAGGGGTGACCGCTTACATGTGCCTCACCTGGCAAATAAGGTGTGTAATTGCTGTTTGTCTGCTGCTTGGCCCACTTGCCATAGAAATAGACTGAGTGAAGGTCAGAGATCAGAGCCTGCTGCATTCTATTGGCTGGAGCTGGTCACATGGCCTCTGGTCCTCACATGCAGTGACAGGGGAAGATATATGTTTCAGTCTGCAGTCAAGCTTATGAGTGAACAGTGTTTATAGCTCTGTGTTTCTCCATGGCAGGAAGATGACCTGGAAACAGATGTGAACAAGCTGTGTCCCCGACCAGAGCCTGACAGACCCCTGGAGCAGCTGGGCCAATATGTGCGCCTCTGCCCTGAGCTGCACCATGACTTCCAGGTGAACGTCTTCACCCTCTGATGCAGTAAACCAAAACCATTGAACCTCCATATCTACATCAGCACTGTATTTCAAAAAAAGGTTTTTCAAAAAGATGTCAGGTTCAATACAAGTTACTTTTGAACGGCAGCATTTGTGACATAATTAAAAAAAAGGTTCCAAAAGGGGGTTTTCACACTGATGCCATAGAAGAACCCTTTTTGGTTCCCCAAAGAAACTTTTAAGTGAACAGTTCTTAAAAGAACAATTTTTTTCTTGGTGTGAAGAACAGTTTAGAAACATCTAAAGAAGCTTTTTCCACTGTAAAGAACAATGGAAAGGTTCCATGGACGATAAAGGTTCTTCATGGAACCATAGATTCCAATAACGAACCTTTATTTTTAAGATGCTACCAAAAAAAAAAAGGTGAACTCGTCCCTTGTTTTCTTTAAAAAAAAGGCAAAATCGAGGTTACGGTTTAAACATTTACAACGGAACTGAAATAGGCCTATTTTCGGAGGATTTAAAAAAGAAATGTCAAGCTTTTCATTTCATAAATAGCACTTACAATAGATAGTTGAAATGTGTGTATTATATGAGCTGTAAAGCTGTTTAAATCATTTGTACAGTGATTTAGGAAATTATAAAATTGGGTATAACTTTAGTTAGAAAGGGTTACCAAGTAATTTTTTTGACACTATAATCATGCTAACATGCATATTCTTGATATCTTGTGGCTATACTATAGAAACAGTGTGTGTTTTGTTCATAAATTTGCCCCAATCACTTCCATTGTGTTCAAATGTAATCCAGATTTTTCTTAATTTTAAAGAAAAAGTGACAAGTGGAAATACATTTTTGTGCTATCAACACTGTGCCACAGATGCTGTCGATTGAGTGTAACTTACAGTTTATAGAACCCAGAATATTAATGCATAACTTCAAGATGATGACAACATGAAATGGCGTTAATTTTTCTTTAGAATAACGTGCCTGATAATTCATGCACAATAAGACCAGGAATGTGCATTAAGAATGTTCATGTTCATTTTAATCCGCTCCCGAGAAATATTTTAAAGAGATTTTTTGGAAACCGTCAGCATCTCTGGGGTTTAGTTGTTGCAGCCAGGCGTGAAAGTTACGAGTGTACTGCTCTTAATGGTAGACACCCAGGATAAAGTTTATATGAAGTGTCTCTAAGTGCACTTGGGGTGAAAATGGACCTTGTGTGGAAGCTGTAAGAGATTTTGATGGGAGCAGGATGTGCTATAATACCTACTGCAACGGCAACACTGCAACTTAAGAGCACAACAGGGACACGGCTTGTACCGAAAATTACCTCATTATGCTTTAAAAAAAATCCTTACTACGGCGGCATGTTTGCCTCACTCTTCATCTTAATAGAGTGATTTTGTTCCTGTTTTTGCTGACCTGAAGTGTTCTGGGGAAAAATGAGGAACATCCTGTTGGCAGAACGTCCACAAGAAATGTTTCATCTAATCTCTCAGTAGTAGCAATAATTATGTGGTAGCTTTTTGCTTGATAGTCAAAGAAAATGTGTGTATTTTCAGTTATTTCAAATGTATTTTTATATATATATATATATATATATATATATGCTTCTATTTAGCATTTCTACTGCAATATTATTTTATTATATAATATTTTCTTCTTATTTTTTAAAATTATTATGCACTGATATTTAGGTCATTATAATAGTACTACTAATAATGTGTGTGTGTGTATATATATTAGCGTTGAACCTTAAATATTTCTTGTTCATTTACCTAAATTCAAAATCGAATATTTATTTTCAGTTTTTATTTTGAATAAAAACAATCAATCATAAATCAATATAAAAATAGTCTTTTTAGCTCGTTGCACGACCTCTGGTGATTTCACCATTCTGCTCTTAACCCTGCTGCGGGTCAGTCAACCGTAGGGCCATTGACAGGAATGAGTGATGACATTTCAAGTTCTATAATATGTTCAGTGTGACTCTTCATTTTAAATGTGTCACCACCCTTCCCATCATGAGCGACTGGTATCGTTTTGATTGACGGCTGCTCTAGCAGCACAATAACACGCCTGCGGCTGTCTTGGAGAAATCCCTGCGTGGCTGCCTTTAGCATGCGGATGAGTTCAAACTAATAGAAATGTCAACACACCTCCGGTTCATCGACGTTCAACTCCCTTCTTATTCAGACGCTGCCACTATTTTAATTCAAATGATATAACATGATGTACTACTGCTGTTGAAAAGCTGCTTCTCCTTGGTTCATTTCCTCTCGCACGTATTGATGTTGTAATTCCAGGTCTCGAAGGGAAATGACGAGCTACTAATTCACTTTTTTGTTTCAATTTAACATTTTTAAAATCAATTCTATCTGCAAATTCTAGACATAAAGGCCAAGCAGTTCTTGCCATGCTTCTTCCTCATTATGAGAAGTCATTAAAGGAGAAGTTCACCCAAAAATGAAAATGTCATTATTTACTCACCCCGACCATCTTAGATGTATTTGTCCCATTTATATGTGTGATTATTTGTTGTGATTTGATTTGTCTACGGCTGTATGAAAAAAAGATTGTTGCTATTATTATTGCTCATAATATAAAATCGAATAAATTCTAACTTGTCATCACAATAAAAAACATGAAAACATTAAATTTATTTATAATTTATTTTGGAAATTAATTTTTGCTTTAGTTATATTTTTTTTTTTTTTTTTTTTTTTTTTTTTGGGATTGTCTATAATTGATTATAATATTGATTATAATGTACGAATGTTCATTATACAATTTTGCATTGTTTTCTTCTGGTTTAACTCAGTATATCGAACCCTGAAAGCATACTGTCCATCCTGGCCCCCCTTCTCCATACGCGTCTTTCATGTATCTCTCCCATTATCATTAAATGCCACTGTGATCTGGAGACTCTGCGACTGGATTGGACGCAGGGATTGTAATCACATTGCTGCATTATGCATGCTGTGGAAAATACCAAGATGAAAAGAATTTACAGCAGGATATTCATGCCAATCAGTTACCCACTATTAATCTTGCACGACAACGATGCTCCACCTATAATCTTCGGGCCAAAACAAAGGCCATAATTAAACGGGTTTAATACATAGCGACACGCTAGGGTTCCGCGGAAGAGAACACAGGTAAAAGTGCAGAGCTGTCAGAAATATTGTGGGCTCGATAAAGGGTTGAGATGTGAAACATAAACCCGGAAAGTGAGATTGGCACAGAGCTTGTGCTCTCAGAGGGAGGGTAACGTAAGGGTCTCTTCCCCCGAGGACTCGCCTCAGGATAATACGTTTCCCTTTGATATTCAACTCTTTGTGTGATACTGTACAGGACAGCCAGGAGTTGAAAATTAGATGTGCATTTCAATTCAGCATGACACCAACATCCTGGTTTCTCTGCTGACTAAGCCAAAGACTCGACATGCATGAGTCTTTTTTTTTTTCTTCTGACACAGTTCCTTAGTCAAGGCATGACTAGCATTACTGCACAATTTTAAATAGCTTACTCATAATATTTCATTTATAATTTTATTTTCTGTGTGTGTTGATATATATATATATATATATACTGTACACACACACACACACACACACACACACACACACACACACACACACACACACACACACACACACACACACACACACACACACACACACACACACACACACACAAAGAAAGAAACAATTAAAAAGGTATACACAAATAGAGCTGTAAAATCAATTAATCACATCTAACATAAGTCTTTTATTTACATGTGTGTGTGTGTATATATATACATATATATATTATATTTGTGTATATTATATATATTTCTGTGTATATTTATATATACTGTATAAATACTGTGTGTGTATATTATTATATATACACTGAACAAAATTATAAACGCAACACTTTTGTTTTTGCCCCCATTTTTCATGAGCTGAACCAGAGACTATTTATATAGAGACATGCCACTTCCTCAATCCTCAATACAACTATATAGGGAAAACCCGTAACGCCAAAGATGGCGGTTGTCTGGACATGTCCCGCCCCTCCCGCTGAAAAGCCAATCGTCTGCTTTTAACAGTCAAGCCGGGAAGCATTTAAGCCTATCGTCTGGTTCCACTGACGCATGCGCACAGTTGAGGTTTGCGACAGGGCAAAATACACTCACCGGCCACTTTATTAGGTACCCCATGCTAGTAACGGGTTGGACCCCCTTTTGCCTTCAGAACTGCCTCAATTCTTCGTGGCATAGATTCAACAAGGTGCTGGAAGCATTCCTCAGGGAGTTTGGTCCATATTGACTTGATGGCATCACACAGTTGCCGCAGATTTGTCGGCTGCACATCCATGATGCGAATCTCCCGTTCCACCACATCCCAAAGATGCTCTATTGGGTTGAGATCTGGTGACTGTGGAGGCCATTTTAGTACAGTGAACTCATTGTCATGTTCAAGAAACCAATTTGAAATGATTAGAGCTTTGTGACATGGTGGAAGTAGCCATCAGAGGATGGGTACATGGTGGCCATAAAGGGATGGACATGGTCAGAAACAATGCTCAGGTAGGCCGTGGCATTTAAACGATGCCCAATTGGCACTAAGGGGCCTAAAGTGTGCCAGGAAAACATCCCCCACACCATTACACCACCACCACCAGCCTGCACAGTGGTAACAAGGCATGATGGTTCCATGTTCTCATTCTGTTTACGCCAAATTCTGACTCTAACATCTGAATGTCTCAACAGAAATCGAGACTCATCAGACCAGGCAACATTTTTCCAGTCTTCAACTGTTCAATTTTGGTGAGCTCTTGCAAATTGTAGCCTCTTTTTCCTATTTGTAGTGGAGATGAGTGGTACCCGGTGGAGTCTTCTGCTGTTGTAGCCCATCCGCCTCAAGGTTGTGCGTGTTGTGGCTTCACAAATGCTTTGCTGCATACCTCGGTTGTAACGAGTGGTTATTTCAGTCACTGTTGCCCTTCTATCAGCTCGAACCAGTCTGGCCATTCTCCTCTGACCTCTGGCATCAAGAAGGCATTTCCGCCCACAGGACTGCCGCTCACTGGATGTTTTTTCTTTTTCGGACCATTCTCTGTAAACCCTAGAGATGGTTGTGCGTGAAAATCCCAGTAGATTAGCAGTTTCTGAAATACTCAGACCAGCCCTTCTGGCACCAACAATCATGCCACGTTCAAAGTCACTCAAATCAACTTTCTTCCCCATACTGATGCTCGGTTTGAACTGCAGGAGATTGTCTTGACCATGTCTACATGCCTAAATGCACTGAGTTGCCGCCATGTGATTGGCTGCTTAGAAATTAAGTGTTAACGAGCAGTTGGACAGGTGTACCTAATAAAGTGGCCGGTGAGTGTACGTTACTGTTTGAAAAGGCAGCAGATTTGATATGCTGTGTATGTGTGCGTTGTGTAAATATCAGACATCCCAAGTCTCCCGGAAGTTCCAGGAGTCTCCCGCAGATTGAATGCGGCTCCCTGATACCCGCATATTAGTTAAAATCTCCCGGAATCTAGAGCTCGCACATACTGTGCTTTAAACTGTGTAGCGTGCGCACGAGAGAGAGGGAGAGAACCCTTGCACATGCGTAGTAAAACTTTAACCTGTGGGGAAAAAGGCGTTTTAAACCTTATTTTGGGGCAAAGTCATCAAACTTTTTCAGCGATTTTTATCACATTTTACTGCTGTTTCTATACATGCAGTTTTTATGTCCCGGTGACCAGTGAAAGTGCAGTTCTGACTCTCTGCCCATTCATTTAGATAGGAGCCTGGTCTTGTTAGTCTGAAATAGCTGCCCGGAGGCGTTGCCAAGATGGCGGCCGAGTGGCATGACTTGCCTAAAAGGACTTTGGCTGAACTCAAAGATCTATGACTTTTTCTACACAAAAGGGCTATTTCTCTCAAATATTGTTCACAAATCTGTCTAAATCTGTGTTAGTGAGCACTTCTTCTTTGCCGAGAAGTGCTCACTAACCATCCACGTCACAGGTGTGGCATATCAAGATGCTGATTAGACAGCATGATTATTGCACAGGTGTTCCTTAGGCTGGCCACAATAAAAGGCCACTCTAGAATGTGCAGTTTTATCACACAACACATCACCACAGTTGTCGCAAGTTTTGAGGGAGCGTGCAATTGGCATGCTGACTGCAGGAATGTCCACCAGAGCTGTTGCCCGTGAATTAAACGTTCATTTCTCTACCATAAGCCGTCTCCAAAGGCGTTTCAGAGAATTTGGCAGTACATCCAACCGGCCTCACAACCGCAGACCACGTGTAACCACACGAGCCCAGGACTTCCACATCCAGCATCTTCAAGATCGACTGAGACCAGCCACCCGGACATCTGCTGCAACAATCGGTTTGCATAACCAAACAATTTCTGCACAAACTGTCAGAAACCGTCTCAGGGAAGCTCATCTGCATGCTCGTCGTCCTCATCGGGGTCTCGACCAGACTGCGGTTCGTCGTCGTAACCGACTTGAGTGGGCAAATGCTCACATTCGATGGGGTCTGGCACTTTGGAGAGGTGTTCTCTTCACGGATGAATCCCGGTTTTCACTGTACAGGGCAGATGGCAGACAGCGTGTATGGCGTTGTGTGGGTGAGCGTTTTGCATCAATATTTTGATGTCAACGTTGTGGACCGAGTGGCCCATGGTGGGGTTATGGTATGGGCAGGCGTATATTATGGACAACGAACACAGGTGCATTTTATTGATGGCATTTTGAATGCACAGAGATATCGTGATGAGATCCTGAGGCCCATTGTTGTTCCATTCATCCACGACCATCACCTCATGTTGCAGCATGATAATGCACTGCCCCATGTTGCAAAGATCTGTACACAATTCCTGGAAGCTGAAAACATCCCAGTTCTTGCATGGCCAGCATACTCACCGGACATGTCACCCATTGAGCATGTTTGGGATGCTCTGGATTGGCGTATACAACAGCGTGTTCCAGTTCCTGCCAATATCCAGCAACTTCGCACAGCCATTGAAGAGGAGTGGACCAACATTCCACAGGCCACAATCTGATCAACTCTATGCGAAGGAGATGTGATGCACTACGTGAGGCAAATGGTGGTCACACCAGATACTGACTGGTTTCCTAATCAGCATCTTGATATGCCACCTGTGAGGTGGATGGATTATCTCGGCAAAGGAGAAGTGCTCACTAACACAGATTTAGACAGATTTGTGAACAATATTTGAGATAAATAGGCCTTTTGTGTACATAGAAAAAGTCTTAGATCTTTCAGTTCAGCTCATGAAAAATGGGGGCAAAAACAAAAGTTTTGCGTTTATAATTTTGTTCAGTGTATATATATATATATATATATATATATATATATATAATATGTATATATACACTGAAACACACACACAGAAATATATATAATATACATATAAATATAATAATAATATACTGTATATACACGCACACATATATTATGTAAACACAGACTTTTATGTTAGATGCGATTAGGGGGACCACAACGGAAATAAGTCTTTGGGCTTTATTCTGTTATCCCTGACTACTTATGTATTTATTTATTTATTTTTAATGCATGACACAGTTTCATACTGTTTCATATTTTTATATTTAAGTGGTCAAATAAAAAAAAAATATCAATCAATCAATCAATCAATCAATTAGACGCGATTCTTTGATTTTACAGCCCTACACACAAATCTGATTGTTGCTGCTTGTCTGAACAGAAATTATTCATTTTAATAGTGGCAGCTGTGTATGAATTTGACACTTTAATATTTTACAGGTAAAAGTTGTGAATTAAGGTTTTGATTTTTGAATGTTTATTTATGCTTATATTTTCCCTTGCAATAGCTTCAATGTAGCTGCTTTTTACTTTTTATATATTTTTTTATTTTTTTTAAAGAAATGGTTCATTGAAGTTTGAGTACCTTATAGCTTGAAAAGCTACACTTTCCAAAATTTCCCCCAAATCAGTGTGTGTGACAACTCAAGTCAATTTATGATATTTGCAAACTTACTTAGCCAGAAATATCCATTCTGAATTGAGTTTGACAGCTGCGGAAGACTTTCCCAAATGTGTCACAATTTCGGTAATTTATTTGCTTTTTTATGTTCTGATTTCAAAAATCAGACATGAATAGGTTTTAATGGTTGGTGGATTGTGTAATTGAATTGACCTAAAAACAGATTAGTTCGCTCCCTAAGTGAATTGAATCGCTGCTTTCTCCCTCTCACCCACTTGAACGAACAACCAAGCACACGTTCCCACATTCCCACTCCCAGAGCTCATCAAAAGGACCGTTGTACTCGTCTGTATCAAGTTCATGATTAAAATAAGTCTTTGAAAAACATCTCTGTGCTGCTACATTGTTTTAGTGTTGTTATTTGTGGTTTTGAAAAACGAATATGACAAAGCAAGGCCCCCCTGAGATGCAATATGCAGCCTCAAACCCGAGACGTTTTTATACAGCAAGGGTTCATTTATATTAATGCATCCTCGGCTATTGGTATTCATGGAAGTTGTGGCGTTTTTGTGTTTACACACATTTTTAGGAGTGTGAGGAGGGGAAAAAGTGAAATTTAAATGCAATGAGATAGCAGAGGGTGCAGTACTAAAGTGTATCTAACAAATTCACTTTGATGGTATACAGTTTATGTGCACTGTGCCGAAGATCAGAGCAACTGATGGAACGTGGGATGCCATTCAGAATTCAAAGATCTTCTATAGGGAGATGAACGCCGATGATGTAGGCTTTTATCGGCACGATGTCTGCTGGAATTTCCACCAGTCAGCACATCATATCTATCGTGTTTCTTGGACATTTCATGTTCACCTTTGGGATGAGCCAGGGAATTGGACCACGTGCCTTTTTCCCGCTAAATTTATGGAAATGTATGAGGCGTGAGCTTAAATTGTTATTTGGTTGCTCTAAAAGCAGTTAGGGCCCTTGGCTATTTTGATACAGTTCATTTTATGCCTGTCAAAGACTGTAATTGGACGACCCTATTTGCTGTCAGTATCACCCTTTTGAAGTCAATAGAAAGCTGGAAGTGATGTGCACCACTCTGGGCTCCATCCTCAAAACAATTCCTTACCCTTTTTTGGCTTTCCTCCCTCAATATTCTCTTAAAAAAAAACTTTTATTTCCTCTAGAGTTTATTTTGGGTTGTTATTCTGCGTTACTGTGTGGTTGGCGGTGCCAGGGGGAAAACAGGATATCTTGTGGGTGATGTTTACTGTAATCTCTCTTTGTCTCCTTTTTGCTGTTTTCTCTTACACTTTTGATTTAAGAGTTGCTGATGTGGCCACAAGTATAAAGAGCTGACATCTGTGGATGCTCTTGATATTTTCCCCCATGAATATCAACATTAGATTTGCAGCTTCTTTCTAACAGTTGGGAAATCATGTCTTCTAGGATTTGGACTCCAGCTCAGAAGTCGATGAAAGCTCAGATGATGACAGGGACTTGGACAACAAGACGGCAAGTGACCAGGGAGACTCCCCGTCGCTCTCCGACCAAGAAGAAAATCACCTCCAGACGAGAGACTTCCATAAACATTACCTTAGCTGCTCCAGGAAAGGCCAGGAAGGCCACTCCAGCATGGTGGACAGGCTTCTGGAGAAGTACGGTACTTGCATTCCCAACCATAATCCACGTCTCTACGCCGCCACTGCAGCCAGTACCAAGTCTGTTGCTGGATACTCCATCCTAGCCTTCCCTGACTTCTGGGGACACCTGCCTCCTCAAGAGCAAGAGCCCATGGCTAAAAGACCACCACATGTGCAGAGGTGAGAATTTAAATCTTTCACTTTAATTATGTCCCACACATATTTTGACTAAAGGAAGTCAAAGTTAATAAATTATCCATCCAAACTCTCAACTGGTTCACAAGTGACAACCCAACATGGCACCAAAAAATGTATTCCCTTGCAAAAGGAACAAAAGGTCTTGCAAAGTAACGAAACGCACTGACCCCAAAATAGGAAGAATTATTAATATTACTTTGGTTAAAAAAGGAAAATTCAACAGTTTTAAAAAAAAAAAACATGAAAAGAAATCAGAATAAAGAATACGTTGGTAAAATGTTCTGTTTGTGTAAGATGTTAAGAAATAGTTTTTATTATAGTAATGTTCCGTTTGTTACCATCTTTACAAATTTATTATCTTATTTCAATTTTAATTATGAATTATGAAAAATTTGTTGAATTAATATATATATATATATATATATATATATATACACTCACCGGCCACTTTATTAGGTACACCTGTCCAACTGCTCGTTAACACTTAATTTCTAAGCAGCCAATCACATGGCGGCAACTCAGTGCATTTAGGCATGTAGACATGGTCAAGACAATCTCCTGCAGTTCAAACCGAGCATCAGTATGGGGAAGAAAGGTGATTTGAGTGACTTTGAACATGGCATGATTGTTGGTGCCAGAAGGGCTGGTCTGAGTATTTCAGAAACTGCTAATCTACTGGGATTTTCACGCACAACCATCTCTAGGGTTTACAGAGAATGGTCCGAAAAAGAAAAAACATCCAGTGAGCGGCAGTTCTGTGGGCGGAAATGCCTTGTTGATGCCAGAGGTCAGAGGAGAATGGCCAGACTGGTTCGAGCTGATAGAAGGGCAACAGTGACTGAAATAACCACTCGTTACAACCGAGGTATGCAGCAAAGCATTTGTGAAGCCACAACACGCACAACCTTGAGGCGGATGGGCTACAACAGCAGAAGACTCCACCGGGTACCACTCATCTCCACTACAAATAGGAAAAAGAGGCTACAATTTGCAAGAGCTCACCAAAATTGAACAGTTGAAGACTGGAAAAATGTTGCCTGGTCTGATGAGTCTCGATTTCTGTTGAGACATTCAGATGTTAGAGTCAGAATTTGGCGTAAACAGAATGAGAACATGGAACCATCATGCCTTGTTACCACTATGCAGGCTGGTGGTGGTGGTGTAATGGTGTGGGGGATGTTTTCCTGGCACACTTTAGGCCCCTTAGTGCCAATTGGGCATCGTTTAAATGCCACGGCCTACCTGAGCATTGTTTCTGACCATGTCCATCCCTTTATGGCCACCATGTACCCATCCTCTGATGGCTACTTCCACCATGTCACAAAGCTCTAATCATTTCAAATTGGTTTCTTGAACATGACAATGAGTTCACTGTACTAAAATGGCCTCCACAGTCACCAGATCTCAACCCAATAGAGCATCTTTGGGATGTGGTGGAACGGGAGATTCGCATCATGGATGTGCAGCCGACAAATCTGCGGCAACTGTGTGATGCCATCATGTCAATATGGACCAAACTCCCTGAGGAATGCTTCCAGCACCTTGTTGAATCTATGCCACGAAGAATTGAGGCAGTTCTGAAGGCAAAAGGGGGTCCAACCCGTTACTAGCATGGGGTACCTAATAAAGTGGCCGGTGAGTGTATATATATATATATATATATATATAGGTGTAATTGAAATTATTCAACCCCCATTGCAAATCAGGTTTATTGGCAAAATGTACAGACTCAGCTATTTGCATTGAACAAATCAAACAAAAGTAATTGAAATAGCTAAAATGTTTAAAGTGGTCACTGAGGCACCACCATGCTTAACTGTAGGCAGAGTGTTCTTTTCAGCATATGCTTCATTCTTCTTCCTCCAGATCCATAGGGCCGAAAAGTTCTAGTTTTGTTTCATCGCTCCACAGAACAGAATCCCAAAACTTCTGTGGCTTATTTATATGATTTTGAGCAAATTGGAGCTGACTTTTCTTGTGCTTTTGGGTCAGTAATGGTGTACGTCTTGGAGTTCTGACATGCGTTTAGTACTGTCACGATGTGGGTTTGTGTCCTGTCATGTTCTTTGGTTCCCTGTCTTGTTCATTAGTTTTCCCAGGTGTTTCTGATTTTCCCCACGCCCCCTTGTTATCCTGTCTAGCTCGTTTGTCCCTGATTATTTAAGCCCTGTGTTTCTGCCCTGTCTTTGTGAGTTGTTATATGTTTCAGGATTAACGTGAGTGTTGCTTTCCCAGTGTTAAGATTCTTGTTCCGCGTTCTGAGTTTCTGTTTGAGTCTATTTAAATAAAGCGTGTAAACTGCGTTTGGATCCAGCCTCCTATCTGCCTTCACCGCACCACGTTACAGAACAACTCACCACAATATGGATCCAGCAGTTGTCAGCAACCAGGCCCTCATAAGTTTCCTTGCCTCGATATTTCAGGAAGGCCAGTCCATCGAGAGGTACGTGAGGGACTTTATGTTGTGCTGTCGTCTGGGGGCTTTAGACGACCTCGAGCTCATGGACTTGTTTTGGAGCGGGTTGGACGAGGACGTTGCCCAGTTAATGCCGGATGACTGTACCAGCTGGACCCTGGAGGGGTATGTCAACCTGGCCCTCTTCAGGAGCGGTTCATCATTTACTGTGGGCGTGGAGGAGAAGAAGCGGCGAGAGACCGCGCTTCACTTCAGCTCAGCCGAACCCGCGCTCCTCAAGCCCGCGCTTCACGTCTGCTCAGCCGAACCCGCGCTGCACATCTGCTCCGCCAAACCCACTCTTCGTGTCGGACCCCTCGAGCCGTATTCCGCACTGGTCCTGTTGATTTTGCTAATCCAGAGACCGCGGCGGAGGTTTCGCCAGCCGAACCGGAGTTTGAACGCGTGCCAGCTGGCGCGAACGAGTCAAGTGAGTCAAGTCCCGAGTCAAGTGAGTCAAGTGCCGCCGAGTCAAGTGCCGCCGAGTCAAGTGCCGCCGAGTCAAGTGCCGCCGAGTCAAGTGCCTCAAGTGCCGCCGAGTCAAGTGAGTCAAGTGAGTCAAGTTCCAAGTCAAGTTCCAAGTCAAGTGAGTCAAGTTCCAAGTCAAGTGAGTCAAGTTCCAAGTCAAGTTCCAAGTCAAGTGAGTCAAGTTCCAAGTCAAGTGAGTCAATTTCCAAGTCAAGTGAGTCAATTTCCAAGTCAAGTGAGTCAAGTTCCAAGTCAAGTGAGTCAAGTTCCAAGTCAAGTGAGTCAAGTTCCAAGTCAAGTGAGTCCAGCCAAGTGAAAGTTTCAAGCCCAGTGAAGCGCCGTCGCAGAAGGAGGAGGAGGACTCGTTTGGCTCGCCAGGCTCCGGAGGGCGTTCCCAGATGCCTCGCCCTGCCGGCCCCGCCTCTGCGCCTCGCCCTGCCGGCCCCGCCTCTGCGCCTCGCCCTGCCGGCCCCGCCTCTGCGCCTCGCCCTGCCTGCGCCCTTCAAGCTCCGGGAGGGCTTTCCTGAACCCGTGGATTTCCCCAAGTATTTTTTGCGGGGGGGCCAAGGGTCCGGTGAGGAGACCATGAGGGCTGCGCCGCCATGGTCGTCTGCAGGGGCTTCATCTCCATGGCCGCCATCACGTCCTGCTCCGCCCTGGCCTTCGCCTCGTCCTGCTCCGCCCTGGCCTTCGCCTCGTCCTGCTCTGCCCTGGCCTTCGCCTCGTCCTGCTCCGCCCTGGCCTTCGCCTCGTCCTGCTCCGCCCTGGTCACTGGCCCAGTCTGGTCCGCCCACGCTCTGCGGCCCAGGCCCGCCTTGCCTAGGTCCAGGTCCTGTTCCCCTGCATGGGCCTGGCCCCCCATCCCTCCCCCAAGACCGCCCTCCTGGACTTTTGTTTGTTTTATTGGGCTTCAGGAGCCGCCCTTAAGGGGGTGGTTATGTCACGATGTGGGTTTGTGTCCTGTCATGTTCTTTGGTTCCCTGTCTTGTTCATTAGTTTTCCCAGGTGTTTCTGATTTTCCCACGCCCCCTTGTTATCCTGTCTAGCTCGTTTGTCCCTGATTATTTAAGCCCTGTGTTTCTGCCCTGTCTTTGTGAGTTGTTATATGTTTCAGGATTAACGTGAGTGTTGGTTTCCCAGTGTTGAGATTCTTGTTCCGCGTTCTGAGTTTCTGTTTGAGTCTATTTAAATAAAGCGTGTAAACTGCGTTTGGATCCAGCCTCCTATCTGCCTTCACCGCACCACGTTACAAGTACACACCTTACTGTGCAGCTGAAACCTCAATGCCTGTCGCCACCAAGTCTTGCTGCAGGTCTTTTGCAGTCACTCGAAGGTTTTCGATTACAACTGTGTGTATAAATTTATATATATAGTTCCAAACAAAGCCACAGCAGAACTGTGGTGCATCTCTGAGCAAGAGACAGTGGTGTTTCATCACTGTATGAATCCACATCTTTTAACGAATCGCGTGAGCCAATGATTCAGTGACTGACTCATTAAGACATCACAGATAACAAAACATATGCAAAGTGTTTTCTATTAGGGTTGTATTTAATTTTTTGTATCTAGCTGTATTTTCCCCTGCTGTTTGTGATCCTATCAAAGATTTTTCACAGCATTCTTCTTCTGATCAACTATGAAAGTCTATTGCAAAAACAATCCTGATTCAACATGAAGGAGCTCTCCATTCACCAGTGATCACATTTAGTATTTAATATTCAAAGATTTAAAGAGACAGTTGCTTTGAGAAACATATCTGGGGAATGGAGGAGAATTACTCTAGTGTTTTGTTTGCTTGTAAAAGCTGTGCCATTACAGACTGCGAAAAGCATTCATGAAAAACAACAAAAAGATGTTTGGTTCCATAAAGGCGCTTTCAAAACAACTCCCCAAAGATGCCTTAATTTGTACTTTTAGTTTTTGTTGTGGGTTTTTGCACAAATTCTGTGTTCCATAATGCAGCTGTTTTTAACCTTATACGTTTGCATGTTGTTGAGATTGCCAGAAAAAGAAAACGATGCAGATATTAAACTTCATTTATAAGCTCATTTGTCTAAATCAGATCACGTGGACACAATTTATTCCATTCTCCATCTTTACTTACACATTGCCTTATGCAAATGATTGTAAACATCGGCACTGAGTCATTAAACTCACTGTAAGTAGATATGAAATCCATTAAAATATTTTCTCTCTGAGTTATACTCTCTTGCCTTAAGTGAGTCTTTCTGCTCTCGCTGACTGCTTTGCTCTCAGACACCCAAACTCTTCTCTAGTGAGGAAAAGCACTTAAATCTATATCTAATTATGGTAGCCCCCTTCGGAAAACTTGTTTTTGCCCAAAACTTTCTTCAATGTGCAAGGGGGAGATTAAATGGAATAGACATTTATTTCAGTCATTTCTGTAGTTTATTGTGTTTCCTCAAGGGTAAGATAAGTTTATATGGGTTCTATTTTAACTCAAAAATAGTCACTTTTGGAGTTTCAAGAAGAACGTGTCAGACAGCCTGTGACATTTTGAAAAAAGTTAATAAGTTTAATTCCACATATTGCTTCCTACTCCACCATTGACTTTTGATAAGTCTAAAACATTTGCAGTTGAATTTGACATCTTACAATGTTTGTTAAAAACACTTATTTAAAACACATTTGACATGTCTGACACATTTTGCCAATAGTTGCAGGAAAATTACTCTCACAAGGTTTATTTTTAACCTTTGTGATGGACTCTACACTCAAAATGTAACATAATGAAGGACAGAATGCTTGTTTATGTCGTATTGTTTTATAGTTCTTTCCTTGAAGTAAACAACTTGATGAGAGCGCACCCAGTTTATTGCCGGTCACGGCGGACTGTTAACTTTGTTTTTGCTCATTCATTCTGTCCCATTATCATCTGAAATTTGCTCTGGGGATTGAAAAGTCCACACACATAGGTTTTTTTTCTCTCGCATTTTGCTCATTCGCGTCGAGAGAAAGGCCTTATTATTGTTGTTTATCAGCGACAAAGAAATAATGCACACAAACAACCAAGAAAATTAGCCAATTAGCATAATACAGTGCAAAAAGAGGAGGCATCATAGATTTGATTTGGAAATTGCATCATCCACAGAATCGAGAACGACCCGCCATTATCACTGCTTTAGGCAGACGTCTGCATACAGTATTATTTCGTCAGGCCACTTGATACGTGTCATGTTGGAATAGCTGATAGCTTTGCTTATTAGTAATTTGTTAAAGTATAATGATACGATTGTCACACCCTTTGTTATATATGCTGTGCGTACAGTGTTTACTGCAAGAGCTCCCTCTGCAGATTAGACAATTAAAACAATAACACTAATAAAGCTAACTACTATACAGATAAACCGTAAATGTATAGTTTAGCCAAACAAAAAACCTGTGTTTTGAAATCATACAATAAGTTTGTGTGAAAATTGAAGTCGTTATTCACCAATAACCTTCTCTCCAGTGAGCTGTTGACCATGAGTCCTTGAGTTGAATTCATGAACTGGATCAACCAGGCCATGTTCAGGCCAGTCTTGAGAATTGAATGAATTGAAAAGAATTGAATCAAAATGGTGATTAATTCACAAATCAAATATTATAGAATTATATAATATTATAATACAGCAATATAGCACTCAAAGTCATATGGGCTGCTTTTATTTAACTAGTTTATGTACAGTACAGGTGAAACTCAAAAATTAGAATATCGTGCAAAAGTTCATTTATTTCAACTTGAAAGGTGAAACTAATATATTATATAGACTCATTACATGCAAAGTGAGATATTTCAAGCCTTTATTTGTTATAATTTTGATGATTATGGCTTACAGCTTATGAAAACCCCAAATTCAAAATTAGAATATTGTGAAAAGGTTTTCATAAGCTGTAAGCCATAATCATCAAAATTCTAACAAATAAAGGCTTGAAATATCTCACTTTGCATGTATCGAGTCTATATAATAGATTAGTTTCACCTTTTTATTTGAATTACTGAAATAAATGAACTTTTGCACGATATTCTAATTTTTCGAGTTTCACCTGTATGTACATATCTACTCTTGGAAATCCCTGATTTCAAATCTTTTTTTCATTTTTTTTCAGGAGGAAAGTTTTTGAAGACATTCAGCGTCTCATCTGTCCAGAGGACGTCATCAACAAGGTTGTTTTTGACATGGACGATCCCAGGTAACACTTCTTTTCTTTTTCTTTTTGATTGCTTTATAACAATTACAATAGAGATTTGAAAAGGGTAATTGTGGTAGAAATACATTTCTAGGTGCAGTGCTATTTGAGATTTGGTTTGAATCGTATAGTTCCTCAATCCTCACCTTGTGTGTGTTTATCCAGTCAAGCTTGGTTTGACGTGACCGTGTGTGTCAGGGACATTCTGGGTGATAAACCCTTGAATGGACAGTGTCTCTCTGGCAGCTCAGATGCTGATGGACAGCTTGTCGTCTGTAGCTGCTGTTTACCGTCATGTAGTTTGTGGGTTAGCAATAAAGACCAGTGTTGTGTTATCTGAGCCGTGTGCCTCCATCATGTGGACAGTGTTCTGCTGTGACTTTACTTGTCATTTGCAGCGTGACTGGAATGTATTGATGCAAAAGGTGTCGAATGAATGATTTAGCAAGAATCATGGTTGCTGTGAATCAATATCTGGGATAAGTATGGTGATAATTCACTTGTTTGTTTAGCTAATGTGACAATATGGTGGAGTGTAACATGCTCAATCAGCACAGCTGCCCAAAAATGTGTCTCTCTTTCTTTCATCTGTTCTTCTATTCATGCTTTTCTGTTTATCAGACTTCTCCAATTCATTTAATTTGTCCCTTTCTTTCTCTTTTCTTTCACCTTTTCTTCTTTCTGTCCCTCATTCATGTCTTTCTCTTTTTACTTCCTTTAAACCCCCCTTCCTTCCCTTTCTGTTCCTTTCCTTCAACCTATTTCCCTTCCTTCTTTCCTTTCTTCTTTTTTCTTCCATTGTCTTTCTTTGATTTCCTTCCCTTCTACTTTAAATCTGTCACTCCTTCCTTCCTGTCTTTACATTTTCTCTTTGTTCCTCCTGCCTTTCCTCTTTACTTCCTTCCTTCCTTCCTATGTTCAATTTGTTTTGTCTTTTCTTTCTTTTTTGTTTTTTTCCTTCCTTTGTCTTTGCTTCCGTCCTTTTTACGTTCATTCTGTCTTCTTCCTGTCTTTCTCTCTGCTTCTTCTTTGCTTACTTCCCGTCTTTCCCTTTTCCTTCCTTCCTGTATTACCTTTTTGCTTCCTTTATTTTTTATCCTTCCATCCTATGTTCATTCTGTCCTTCCTTCCTTCCTTCCTTCCTTCCTTCCTTCCTTCCTTCCTTCCTTCCTTCCTTCCTTCCTTCCTTCCTTCCTTCCTTCCTTCCTTCCTTCCTTCCTTCCTTCCTTCCTTCCTTCCTTCCTTCCTTCCTTCCTTCCTTCCTACCTACCTACCTACCTACCTACATTGATTCTGTTCTTCTTTATTGTTTTTCTGTTTTCCTTCCTTTATTCTAATTTTGATCTGTTCCTACCTTCCTTACTACATCTTTCTCTTTTCGTCTGTATTTCTTTTATGTTCCTTCTTATATTCATTTCTTATATTTCCTCCCTGTCTTTCTCTTTTCCTCATTCCCTTCCTTCCTGTCTTTTCTGTATTTTCTTTCTTTCTTTCTTTCTTTCTTTCTTTCTTTCTTTCTTTCTTTCTTTCTTTCTTTCTTTCTTTCTTTCTTTCTTTCTTTCTTTCTTTCTTTCTTTCTTTCTTTCTTTCTTCAGTCCACAGTGTTCCACTGATATGTGTCCCAGTTCCCTTCGATTTTTCTCCAAATTTGAGAGTGGGAACCTGCGAAAAGTCATTCAAGTCCGCAGGTGAGTCTCTGCATTACAATACAGTGCACGTACACAAGCTCACAGACGTGCAAACATGTACTGCAGAGAGCGCGCGAGTGCCCTTGGGCCTCATTTGTAGTGCGTTTGCAATCATACTCTCTCTCCCTCATTCTTATGTTTCCATTCTTTCAGCAAGCTTGTCTCGTCAACGCATGCAAGATCAAATCAAAGACTCTGTCTACAGAGCAGTTCCGATACGCTTAAATAAAAGAGCCGACGTTATATTTTTCCAAATGAAATGTGGCGGCGTAACAACAGATAGGGACGGAGTGAGAGATTTCTCTCTGTCGTTTACGCAACACATTTCTCAGTCTCTCTCTCTCATTACTTCTTTCCTATTCTCTCTTACACCCACTTTGTCTGATTTTCTCCTGTCTGTCTATCTTTCGCAGTCATGAATATGATTTGATTCTCAATGCTGATGTCAACTCCTCTGCACACTCTCAGTGGTTCTATTTTGAAGTCAGTGGCATGGTGGCCGGCGTGCCTTATCGTTTCAACATCATCAATTGTGAGAAAGGAAACAGCCAGTATAACTACGGTAAGCCATACGTTAGCAACTACCATGGAGCCATATGGTTTACACAAGCAGTATATCCTATTCCTGGATCAGCATATGTTGTTTTAGAAACCAGGGTTATTATAATTAACTAAAACTAAAACTATTAAAAATAATTAAATAAATAATAATAATAAATTAAATTAAATTAAATAAAATATAAAAAACTTCAAAACTTTAACTTGACGTAGCAAATTAACTAAAAGTAAAACTGAAATAAAAATTACTAAAAACTACAGACATATTAAAAAAATAATAATAAGTGACAACTAAATAAAAATAAAAATTTAAAATACAAAAAAAACTATAAAAGTATCTTAATGATACTAAAACAAAAGGAACAACAAATGATTATGCACACTTTAATCCAAGGTACACTTTTTTAATATAACATTTTGGTACACAACTATCCATACGATGTATCTTTTGTGGTATGAACATGATCTCCTCAAATCACCATAAGTTGATCCAGGAATGTGTTTGTTATGTGGACCAGGTGAGGGTTATAAGAGCTTGTTTTTAATGCCGCGTACTAAGGTTGTATATTCTACGATTGTTCTTAATGGCACTAATTTTGACATCCCTCTCCTCAAAAGAAATACAGCACACCAAGCTTAAGAAGATGCCACAGTGGTAGCAGCTAAATCATTTCACAGCCTCACATTGCTCTCAGACACAGCGGTGGGCCTGAGCAGCTCTTAAATCTGACACTAGCCGTATATTCCCCGAAAAATACAATGCTCCGACATTTCTAAAGTTCCTCCCCCTATAAAGCGTTTTCAATGGCCCTTGACTGCCTTTTCTTCATTTTGGTGTGCAGCTGGGCATTTTAAAAGACTTGTGCTGGCCCGAAGTCAGTGTTTTATGTCTCTATATTAAATGAGATGTCCTTTACTTTTGACCTTATTTGAGTTTGAGTAAAACTTACTCCCAACAAACATCTACTTTGAGAGAATGCATTTCAGGGAACTCTGTCAACATGTCTTCTTCAGGGAGGCAGTGATTTGGAGAAATGGCATGTTTAGCGTGTTGGTTATAAGAAAGGAATGTCTTGCCTTTCAATTGGAAGAGCCAGTCAGCTTCTTTTTTTTTTAGCAGATTTATTTATTTATTTAAATATAACTGCTCTATAACTGTTTTGGTGATTTTAGCTTTCCTCATTACATTTTATTAAAGTATTTTGATTGAACTTGATGACTTTTTAAAAATTATTATTTAATGAATTTTAACAGTTTTTTTGTTTAATATATTTTATTTAGGGGTGTAACTATATCATGATACTGAACTCACGATACACGATATTATTATGATACTCCAAGACATATGATAAAAGGTTAACAAAAAATGTACTGTTGATTAAAACAAGACTTGGTGCTTGTAACCCAAGGACAATAGTGACACCAGAATAAAACTATTCATGATTCTGAAGCTTAAAATACAGAATTATTTTAGAGGAATATGCTTGCACTCTGTCACTGACTAGATATATTTAAAATAATGTTGGTCACTTTTTACTGGTAACATAAGACATTTGGCATTATCAGGACCCACAAATATTCCCCCATTGCATTATTATACATTAAAATCAACATTATGTATAGTAGTTTAATGTAGTACTGACCAGTGTTAATTTTGTCATTAAATTTTGATTTAGTTTTAGTCTTAGTCTTTTGACTAAAATGCCATTTAGTTTTAGTCATATTTTAGTCATCTGAATTGTTTTAGTTTTAGTCTAGTTTTAGTCGACGAAATACAATAACATTTTAGTCGACTAAATCTACAGTAGATTTAGTCGACTAAAATATAATGGGTTTAGTTCAATTGTAAATGCGTTAATTTAGAATTTCTCTAAAATTGCCAAACCCATATACTCCCGGAGAAAACATCTATTAACCTATTAATATGAATGATTTTTAAGTTTGAACATGCAATACAGATACAGATTTAACTGCTGTTACTTAAAAAATATCTTAAAATGAAATAAAACCACTTTTCCTAAAGTACAACACAGTCTTCTTTACAATGAATGATATATTCATTCCTTATAACTACTTACACATCATTCTTTATTCTTTCAAGCAGACATATTTATTTGTATGAATTAAATATAATTAATCCTTATTAAAGCTATTAACAAACAGTGAATGCTTTTCTCTTTTTCTTTTGTTGCTTGATCAAAATTAAGGACACGGACCGCATTAGGTTTATTGCCACTGTCACTTTAAGACGTCGGATCATGTCCAATGACATGCGGATACAATTGCACTGATGCACATCCGACACACTCACAGTTTAAGACATAACCAGCATAGTTTACATGAATACTCTCCAAAAAGGACATTTAGACATAATGTTGTGTATTTCTCCATTCAGACACGAAAGAGAGCTCAATTCAGTAGCCTACTCGCGCGCTGTAGGTGTATTGTGCATGACTGCACGCTTCGGGTTAGGTGTGTGCGCAAAGAAAACCGCACCGAATAGAGCTCTTTTTTGCATCGTCACTCTTATTCAGAGATCTATATGTCTGCTCTACTCATTCTCCCAGACGTTCACATTTTTTAACGTTTTATGACCGCGGGGTAGATCACGTTACAGTAGCCTACAAATGTGCGCATCTACCACACACGCAGGACATCAGTTCTGACGGATCGCTTCCCAAATCGTCACTATCTAACATTTTCGTCTAGTTTTTATTCGTTGACGAAAATGTCAATAGATTTTCGTCATAGTCTTTGTCATTCAAAACTAGGTTTTATTTAGTTATCGTCTCGTTTTCGTCTGTGAAAAAATGTCGTTGACGAATAATTTTCGTCGTTATTTTCGTCAACGAAATTAACACTGGTACTGACACTAAAACTCTGAAAAAATTGAATTTATTTATCACACAGTTTTTGTATTGTGATATATTGTGGCACGGTATATTGTTACACCCCTAATTTTATTTATTCATGTGATGGAAAAGCTGAATTTTCAGTATCATTACTCCAGTCTTCGGTGTCACATGATCCTTCAGAAATCATTCTAATTTCGTGCTCAAGAAACATTTATTGTTAATTTCAATCAACAGCATTTATTTCAAATAGAAATCTTTTGTAGTATAATAAATGTATTTAATGTCACTTTTAACCAATTTAATGCATCCTAAGGGCCATTTCACACAGAATGCACTTTTGCGGTTAAAAGCGTGAGGCACAGGTTAATGTAATGGGGGAAAAGGCCCACATGGTCTAGATACGTTTTTTAAAAGTTGTACTTCTTTTAACTTGACACCGCATTTTTAGAAAGCTGTGTCACGTTTACCTATTCAATTCAGGGTAGACCCAAAAATGATTAGATTTTTACATTTTTTTTAAGTATTTGATTTGGCAATTGGCCACCCTGAAAACATCCACTTTTATCAATTCTGTTTTTGTGCAAAAGCTAAGAATCTGCATGTTTAGCAATTACAGAATGACCTTTAAAAGACTGACTGTTTGACATGGTTCATTACTGTATGATTGTCCCGTGCTGTTTCAGGCATGCAGCCTGTGCTGTATTCTGTGAGAGAGGCTCTGGAGGGAAGACCACACTGGGTGCGATCAGGCTCTGAAATCTGCTATTACAGGTACTTTGCTTTTGCATTTTGCTTCAGTTCTTCACATTTAACCCTACATTCCTTCACTACACCACGCTTTACTGTACTTTTTCTTGAAAAAGTGAAATCAAATCTTTACTCAATATACTGCACGTGCAGCGTCTAATTGTGCTTTTGACTTCCACAGAAATCATTTCTGCCCTAGGAGAGGTCAAAAATGTTCTTTCTACACGCTGACCTTCACTGTGACCTTTCGCCATGATGATGATGTGTGCTACTTGGCTTACCACTACCCTTACACGTACACCACCCTTCAGGTGTTTGGAATTACCCACTTTGTATGAATATGTGTCCTCTATGGAGATAATAATAATCCCTGGTCATAATTAGTAATTCACCCAAATGGAACCCAACCCGGAAACTGATGTATGCATTTAAATGTAAACATATAAACGGTGGCTGACATTTATTTAAACAAACATTAAATAATTATGACCACTGACTAAGTAAAAATATGATGAAAATATAATATAGTGCATATATTAAGCAAAATGAGGCATTTTGTTCTAGTTGACTCACTTTATGGACATTGAATGGCTTCTCTGAGGTATGTAACATTACGTGACATTGTTTACAATCAGTTTTATTGACGTCTCTCCGTGGTTGGAACACTGATTGAGCGATTACATGAGACATGATACATTTCAGTAAGTTGTACTGTTTCTTTTAACATCTTCAGATGTTTATTTCATGCTATAACTAGAGGTTATTTCAACAACTATAACTAGAGGAACAGATGATTGGTTTATGTGCTGCTTGAACTGAGGAGGCTACACCGATCTGTCACGTGTCAAAGCAACATTTATTGTTTTAATTTAGTTATAAAATTGACTTATAAAAGGTAAATGACTTTGAAAAGACGCTCTGCCTTTGAAAAACTTATTGCGATTATTGTATGGTTGGCTCTCTACAAATAATGTTTAGTGAAGTTTTGATCACTCATCATCAGCTAAAAACTAAACACTTTTAAATCGATTTAAATAAAGAAATCATTATTGTCAACCTAGCCATAGTGTTCATACAGGTGACATGCTTACCTGTTGTAGCTTGTCTACATTGTGTGCATGAAATAGACACTGGCACAGTCAAAACACGCCATCGGAGGAGCGCTTATTAAATGTCACCGTTACAGTCAATGATTTCAGCCCTCCTAAACTGATATATTTTTGATTGCCGTAATGTCGGTGCATCAGTAGTCATAATGGCTAATGACTAATGCGAATGTTTTTGCAATTGTTCTCTAGACCCATTTGAAGATGTTGGAGAAGTCAGTCGACCCACAGAAAGTTTTCTTCAGGCAACAAAACCTCTGTGACACGCTGGCGGGGAACTCCTGCTCCTTAGTCACGATCACTGCCTGTCCCACTTCCAGAGCCTGGAAACATCTGCACCAGCTGCGTAAGTCTGACAGTAAAACTCGCAATGAGTCAGATTTATGCTCTTGTGTGTCAACACACCTGTGTGCTAAGCTGAAGGAGGATGTGTGTGTGCTCGTAAAGTCTGTACAGAGTATCTGAGCTTTGACGCCTCCTGTTGAGGAGCATCAGTGTGTGTAGTGTGTGTCTTTTTGAGTGGGTGGATGTATGTGTGGAGGACACCGTTAGATGGGATGACAGTGCTTGACTCACTACCTTAGTCGTATGTTATTCCAGGGGACAAAAAGTTAGTAGAACTAGGAAGACACATATGGATTGAGAGGAAGTCAGGTTGACTATTTCTTGTTGGTAGTCGCTTCAAAGGCAATTACATTTACATTTAATCTTTTAGCAGACGCTTTTATTCAAAGCAATAGAAGCAATCAAACCAACAACAGGGCAACAATATGCAAGTGCTATGACTAGTTCCAGTTAGTCTAGCACCGTACATGTAGCATTTCTATTTTATATATATATAATATTAAGTGTTAGTATAAATGGGTCAAGTGTTGATGAAAAAGATGCGTCTTCAGCAGTTTCTTGAAAATGACTAAAGACTCAGCAGCTTGGGTTGAGTTAGGCAGGTCATTCCACCAGCTTGGAACAGTCAAGGGTCAGTGAAAATGGTTTTGTGCCTCTTTGGGATGATGGCTCCACGCATTACTTCAGACCTATGTGCCCTCCAGAAGCTTACGTTCTGGAACTGAACGGCGCCACTTCCAGAACGCAAGCTTCTAGAGGGCACATAGGTCTGCCAGAACGTAAGCTTAGAGGGCACATAGGTCTGCCAGAACGTAAGCTTCTGGAGGGCACATAGGTCTGAAGTAGTGAATTTATGTATAGGGGTACAAAGCCAGTGGTTGTTCTTTACAAACATCAGTGCCTTGAATTTGATGCAAGCGGCAATTGGCTACCAGTGCAAAATATATATATATATAAAATATATATATATATATATATATATATATATATATATATATACACTCACCTAAAGGATTATTAGGAACACCCGTTCAATTTCTCATTAATGCAATTATCTAATCAACCAATCACATGGCAGTTGCTTCAATGCATTTAGGGGTGTGGTCCTGGTCAAGACAATCTCCTGAACTCCAAACTGAATGTCAGAATGGGAAAGAAAGGTGATTTAAGCAATTTTGAGCGTGGAATGGTTGTTGGTGCCAGACGGGCCGGTCTGAGTATTTCACAATCTGCTCAGTTACTGGGATTTTCACGCACAACCATTTCTAGGGTTTACAAAAAATGGTGTGAAAAGGGAAAAACATCCAGTATGCGGCAGTCCTGTGGGCGAAAAGGTCGAATCATTTCAAATTGGTTTCTTGAACATGACAATGAGTTCACTGTACTAAAATGGCCCCCAGAGTCACCAGATCTCAACCCAATAGAGCATCTTTGGGATGTGGTGGAACGGGAGCTTCGTGCCCTGGATGTGCATCCCACAAATCTCCATCAACTGCAAGATGCTATCCAATCAATATGGGCCAACATTTCTAAAGAATGCTTTCAGCACCTTGTTGAATCAATGCCATGTAGAATTAAGGCAGTTCTAAAGGCGAAAGGGGGTCAAACACAGTATTAGTATGGTGTTCCTAATAATGCTTTAGGTGAGTGTATATATATATAATGTATGTATGTATTCCTTAAAGCCTGGAACACACCAAGCCGACGGTCGGCCGTCGGGCAGTTTTTGTGCGTCGGCCGACTGAGTTTCCTCGGTGTGTTCCGTACGGTTCCGTGCCGTCGGCTGAAATTGGTCCTCGTCGGCTTTGTTTCGGCCGATTCGACATGTTGAATCGGCGTCGGGCCGTCGGTGAAATAGGGAACTCTGATTGGCTGTTCAGCTTAGTGAAAGAGTCATGCACGAGAATAATAGCAATACAGCGAGCAAAGAAGTCAAAACTCTACAGATAGAAGGCTGTTCTTATGTTATGTCATCTTACCTGAGTGTTCCTTGGCGAATATTTCAATATTAACACAAGCGGAGTGGAATAAAGAAAGTGTCTAGCAGGATTGATATTTAAAACGGTAAGCACGCACTGCTTTGTTTATGGTTTGTGTATCTGCAGCCGACAGTCGGTTTCCCCTTTTTGAATGACGAATGTAGAGAATATATCTGCAGAAATAGACAGTTGTCTCATTTACACGCAGGCGCAGAGCGCGCATTCTAGCTGACAGTCGGCTGTAGTTCTCTCGGTGTGTTCAAGTGCAGCTTTTTACCCCGACGAGAGGCGACAACACAGTCGGCTTTCATCAGTGCTAGTTCGTCGGCGTCGGCTTGGTGTGTTCCAGGCTTAATGCACTTGGAGCATCTGAGCATAAAACATTTTATGAAATAGACAAATTAATAAATATAAAAACTGTTTTATTTATTTATAAATAAATAAATAATACACAATTTTTATATGTATTTGGTTATTTGTTTACTTATTTGTCTTTTTGCCTTTATAATAGAAATTAAGGTGTAAACGGGATCCAAACCTTTGTGATCCGACCGCTCAAAAATCCATTTTTCCTTTGAGACAGGTCACATGAATTACGTTTGTAGCTCTGTTAGTTTCCTCCACCTAGTTTTCAGTGGCACACTTTTTTGAACTCATTTGATTGTTCATATCTGATGAAGGATCTAGCAAAAGCAGTTTGGCGGCGGGCTACAGTCTTGAATCGGTACTCGTACTCGCTCTTGCATTAAAGCTGACAGGTGTTATTGTCAGCTGCAGGTGAAACTACAGAGATAGATGCTTCAGACTGAAGGAAGACCTAGAGGGACACGCTGGGACATGCTGACCCAGCTGTGGGCCACTTCCTCTGGGTAGCACGGTGCTCACCAACCCTCGTCTCCTGATGAAAATGGAGGCGAGACATCTGCAGCTTTCTCCCCATAGACCCACATGGAGCATCTGGCTCGGTTGGGGGTGGAGGGACGGCCTGTTCCGATCAACCGACTGCTGACAGTCCCCAAGACACTTCGACATACTGCAAAGTGACCTGCTGACAATTCCCAAAGACTGCCGAACATAGTGACCTGCTCGCAAACTTGAAACTTGTGCCATTGATCAAAGACTGACAGTTATTAGCGCGTTTACATTGAGTGTGTCTGAATTGTGTGTGCGCATTTGTTTATGCTAGTGTAATCAAATCACAATGAGAGCACTCATATGGGCTTTCTTCAGGAATTCATTGGCTAATGAAATCAGTGACACGGAAGTGACTACCTGTATTTTTAATTCAGACTCTGTGATATTGTTTTAACAGCATCACACTTTGAATATGACTCCTATCCTAGCCTTTGAAAGCCTCGATGATTATTATTGTAGAACTTATTTTTAGTGAATAGATGTCCTGCTATTTTAACACTTCAATGATCAACATACCAATTATAAAAGCGAAATACATAAGAAATAAGCACAGTGTTGGGGAAAGTTACTTTTTAAAATGAACATACTTTTATATATTTATTGAATTTCTCTTAAAAAAATTACATTTGTCTTATTATGGAAGCCAGTTTCTATTTAGGAAAAATGTAATTGTGACTTTACAGTTGCAGCTATTTTTCTCAAAATGTAATTTTATATCTGACAACTGTAACATTATTTCTTGTTATTGGACTTTGTATCTTACAATTGTGACCAGGGGTGCAAAAATATGTTTTAGGTTGGGGGTGCAGGGTGCTAAACCCCATTTGCAAAAAAGAAACAATATATTGAGTCTATAAAACACATCAAAACTCCACGGAGCACAACGTGTATCAGTGACAACACTCGTTTAAACCGCAAACACACCGGGACATTTGACTGCGCACAACGGACCGGTCGACGGGACATAAATTAAGCCTTTAAATAAAAGGGTTATTGAGCTATTTACACTGACATATACAAAAAAAACAGTCTGCACAAACACAAAAAACTGCCTAACTTACACAACACCAAAGGTGGACTTGCGCTCAGGAGTAGAGCAGACGAATACTTTCTTCGCACACTGCAACGGTCACAATATGACGTCACACCCTGCGTGAATATTTTAAAAAACATAATTCGACATATAAATAATACTTTTTTATTTGTCCACTTAAAGTGTTATAAATAAAATAAATAAATAAATCATTTACTTAATGCTAAAAATAAATAAATGTAAATGAACGAAAATTTGCTTTGCATTTACAATCCTGTAAAAATGCAGCACCCCAACTTCCAGCGCCCTTGATTGTGACTATTTTTCTTGTAATATAGACTCATGACACGTTACCACAACATCTAATGCAATTCAATCTGGATAGAATTTGCATTTTTATTGCAAAAAGTATTCACATTTTGATAAAATGTCATTTTCAAAAAACAAGCGAGCTGCATCTTGACCAAATAATCTGTAGTATACATTTGCACCTGTAACCGAATTCTTCTTAAAATCGCTGCTTAAATAGAAATAAGTTCTTGTATAGTTCTATCCAAATTTGAAGAAAATATCTTTCCCATCAGTTGACACACAGTGCTGTTGTGACAGCCGCAGCAGCAGTCAAACACAGCCTCACTGCAGTGAACAGCATCCAGCGAGATTCACGTGGCTCTGCGTAAACATCAAGCCCGAAACACACACACACACTCACACATGCAGGGCACCTCATCCATCTGTCATCGTCCTGCTGAGTGTGTCGTCCCAGCTGACACCATGCCGAAACTTCACAGTGCATTTCATTAATCTGAACATCCGTGCAAAAAACCCTCCTCCAACAGGAAGAGGATGTGTCAGTAAATCAGACTATCTATCAAGCGATCCATAGACAGATGTGTATGTAATATACAAGATATATTACAAAAAATATATATAACTCCAATAACTATTAGATTCTTAAAATATTATTCTTAAAATGTATGTGATGTGACATAAAGGCCAAGTCAAATTCGTCCTCTGCATTTAAACCATCCAAGTTAGTGCACACACATTAAAGAGTTAGTTCACCCAAAAATG